GTGCTGGAACCGTCATGGCTGCCAGTGAGAGAAATGTGGTCTGACTGAGCCCTCACAAGGGGGAGGGGACCAGCAAGGCACTCCCAGAGTGCCAGCCCTTTCCTGGGTCTGGGGTCACAGAGCTGGAGCAGATGCCATCCCATCTGGTTGGGAGGCCAACAGGAAGTGACTTCATCCCAGGGATCACATAACTGAGCATGGGGTTAGGGAAAAATCTGGGGCAGGAGATGCAGATGATTCCTTTCTAGGGATAAGCAGGAGCCCTTTGTGGGAAGAGCCATTCCAGCTGAGGCAGTGAGGTATGGCCACAAAGTGTTTTCAGGACCAGGCTGTGTTCAGGGCTCCTTGGCCATGTGGGTGTGGTGCGGGGCAGAGTGGGGCACTGGGGGCTTCTGAGCAGACAAGTGAAGGGTTCGTTCGTGTGTGTGTGTGTGTGTGTGTGTGTGTGTGTGTGTGTGTGAGAGGGAGAGAGACAGACAGACAGACACTGAGAACCTGAGAGAGATCCCTCAGGGGCCAGGAGGATGCAGGAGGCCTTCCAGAAAGAAGTGGCAGTGGGAGGGATAAAAGGAGGCTGAGTTGGAAGTCTGAGGAAGGGGATTGGCAGGACTTGGTTGATGGCAAGAGAGAAGCTAAGGAGTCCAGCCACAGCTCTTAAGGGCCACTTTAAAGAATGGGCTTCTCAGGTGCCTGGCCAGCTTAGTCAGTACAGCATGTGACCCTAGATCTCAGGGTCATGTGTTCGAGCCCCACATTGGGCATGGAGTCTTCTTAAAATAAAAAATAAATAAAAATAAAGAATGGGCTGTTCTTCAGGTCTCTGAAAACACACAGGGACAGAGCAAAGACTGGGGGAGCCACCATTGTGAGTAAACTAGTTTTATCACTCACTTTACAGATGAGGAAAATGCAGCTTAGATTTGGGAAAGTGACTTACATAGGGTCACACAACCACTAACTTGTCCATGCTCTTTCCATTGCTCCTTGCCCAACTTCCCCCACCTAGACTGGGCAGAGGGGCTCTGGATCTGTAGCTGCTGTGTTGCTTGAATCCCAGGGCCTGAAATCCCTGCTCCTTAGCCCAAATGGAAAGCCCCAAGGTCAGAAGAGGGAGGTTGTCTTGGCCAGCCTGTTACTAGCTAGGGGTGTCTCAAAGAGCCAAGCCTCCAGGCCAGCCTGGTGTCCCCAAGATGCCTTCCCCATAGGCCAGGGTCAGGTCACCCAATCGGGAACACTGACCTTTGGTTCCAGACAGATCAAGCTGGCACACAAGACTCTTCCCTCCATACCACCCTCCCCTTACACTTTATCATGAAAATTTTCACAGACACAGCAAAGTTGAAAGATTTAACATTGAACGCCCATATACCTACCACCTAGACTCTACCGTTAACATTTTACTATACTTTTGTGATCACAAATTATCCATCCCTCAATCCCTTATTTTAATCATTATTACACTATATGTTAACTAATTTGGATTTAAATAAAATTTAAAAAAAAACCACAAAGTATAGATATCACTATATTGCCTGCTAAATATCTTAGCATGTGTATTTTTTTTTTAATTTTTTTTTTCAACTTTTTTTTTTTTAATTTATTTTGGGACAGAGAGAGACAGAGCATGAAGGGGGGAAGAGAGAGGAGACATAGAATCGAAACAGGCTCCAGGCCCAAGCCACTCAGCCCAGAGCTCGACGCTGGGGCTCTAACATCGACCGGCTGAAGATCGCGACCTGGCTGAAGTCGACGCTAACTCCATCAGCCACCCAGGCGCCCCTCTTAGCATGTGTATTATTAACCAGAGCTCAATACTTACTTACATTTTTCTTATATGAAATTTATATAAAGTGAAAAACACAAATCTTAACATGTACATTTTTTTTATAATTTTATTTTTTCAATATATGAAGTTTATTGTCAAATTGGTTTCCATACAACACCCAGTGCTCATCCCAAAAGGTGCCCTCCTCAATACCCATAACATGTACATTTTCTGAAGCTGCCTTTCATTCAGCAAAAATTTTAAATTTATTTATTTTGAGAGAGAACATGCACACACAAGCGTGAGTGGGGAAAGGAAAGAGAGAGAGGGAGAGAGAAGATCCTAAGCAGGTTCCATGCTGTCAGCTCAGAGCCCAATGTGGGGCTCAGTCCCATGAACTGTGAGATCATGACCTGAGCTGAAATCAAGAGTTGGACACTTAACTGATTCAGCCACCCAGGTACCCCAGCAGCAAAATATTTTTGAGATTCATTTATATAGCTGCAGATAATAACACATTGCTTTTTTAAAATAAACTTTTAAATTCCAGAATAACTTTAGATATAGAAAGTTCCCATATGCTCCACACCCATGATCTAAGCCAGGGAACTACATTACATTTAAGTGTCCTGTCTTCCCCATGTCCTCTGCCTGCTTTCTCAGTCTTTCCTAATTTCTCATGACCTGGACAGTCTTGAGGAGCACTGGCCAAGTATCTTATAGAGTGTCCCCATTTTGGACTTCTTGCGCTTTTCTTTTTGTAAGTTGGGGGTTTGGATTTTTGGAATGCTCAGTCGGTACATGCTAGCCACCTGATTTCATGATGATGTTACCCTTCATTTGTTCAAGACAGTGTTTGCGGGGCTTCTTCAGGATAGAATTACTATTTTCTCTTTCCCTGCTCTGTTCTTTGGAAGTAAGTTACCTCTCCTAGCCCACCCTTGGGGGCAGAGGGTGGGGAGTAGGAAGAACTAAGCTCCACCTCCTGGGTGAGGTATGTTATTTGGAATTCTTCTGTAACGGTTCCAAAAGCAATTCTCTCTCATTTATTTATTCAGTCATGTATGAGCTGGTTGCTTTTAATTTATTTCTTTAATCAATATAATACATATACATAATTTACAATGTTAAGGATTATAAGGAAAACGAATGGTTCCCTAAGGGCTTAGTTATTTGTTTTGTTACTTGTAAATAACATACATACTGTGGTTTTTTCCCCCATTTTATATTAAATTGAACTATATGAACTTTCCAATATGCAACCATTTTTGATCTGCAAAATGGCCATTTCATATGGTTCAACCTAATACCTTGTATTTTGACTTTCTAATCCTCGTGCTGCTGATTGTGTGTGACACTGGAGTTGGTTCATTTGTTTTATTGTGAATTGTGACTTTGCATATGATCCTCATCACATCTGGCTCCCAGCTTAGCCACAGCTCCAGACCAGACACCTTGGGCCTAGGTGAGAAAGGGGCTGCAGGATGTGAGGTCAGCCTTTGCTGTGGTAACTGCCCGGCACGGGCAGCTGTGGGGCAAAGCCTTGGGGGCTCCCTGGACTGTCAGCTCCACGGATACCCCCAGCTGCTAGTTCTCTGCCCTGTGGCAGACTGGGCCCCAGGTATATCACCTTGCTGCAGGGTCACAGCCACTAGGCCAGCTCTCATGTGTAGTCTCAGGCCAACTATTGAACCTTTTGTGCCTCAGTTTCCTCTGGTGTAGGTCCTCAGCTTTTCCTTCAGGCCCCTCTGTGTTCTCCTTCCTGCCCACAGTATGAAGCTGTCCAGGACAGGGGTCTCCGGAGGTCAGAGGCCAAGATCCCAGGCTCAGCTCAACCTCTGACCTGCTCTAAGACCCTAGCCGGGTGTTCCCCCTCCACTCCTCCACTGGGCTTCCATCTTCCCATCTATGCCAACAAGGTGGTTGATACTAATGGTCTAAGAGGCCTCTAAGTGGCTGAGAAATGGGGCTGTGAGCCCCTCTCCCCACATCCTGCCATGCAGCAGGGCTCTGCCCCTCCTGCCCCAGGCACTGGGAGTCTTGGGATGAATGGGATTGTAAAACAGCCCAAGTCCTGATTCCTCTCTGGGCTTCTGTCAGGGGGATAGTACTGAGCTTCTGGGGCCCTTTGGATTCTGTGGCCTATCCAGGAAAGGCCGACTGAGCTGGTCACGGATACCATGGTGGCAGAACGCCTCGGGGACCCTGCCCAGTCCAGGGGAGGAGGCACAATCATCAGGCAGTCACACAGATGAAAGAAAAACTGCAATTTGGATGAGTTTGTGTTACCAAGTAGAGGTTAATGGGGCCAAGACCCAATCTGGGAGTGTGGGAGGGCTTCTCTAAGGAAGTGACCTTTCCTGAGACCTGAAGGGTAAGCAGATGTTGGCTGGATGAAAGGGAAGAGAACATTGCAGGCAGAGGAAACAGCAGAGATCCTGCAGCAAAAGGAAAGAAGCCAGTGTGGCTGGAGCTGAGTGAGGTGGAGCAGGCGAGAGGGTGAGGCATGCACATGGGGCAGGGACCAGGTACAAGGCCTCAGAGCCCCAAAAGAGTCTGATCTTCATCCTAGGAGCCCTAGGAAGCCTTTGGAGGACTTTTAGCTGGGAAGTGATAGGCCTAGATTTATTTTGAGAAGCAACCTCTGGCTGCGAGAGAGAATGGACTGGTGGGGTCAGGGGTGCGGGAGGCCTGAGACCAAGGAGCCCAGAGCAGAGATTGATGTTGTTTCGATGACAGTGGCTTTGTCCAGGGTGTTAGCTGTAAGAACAGGTAGAAATGGGTGGATCTGAGTTTGGGAGATAAAACTGCCAGGACTTAGTGGCCTTGTGTCCAGGAGAAGTATCAGGTTATTCTGTGGCCTAAGAACCTGGAGGGAAGATGGGGGCATGGGTTCACCATGGGAGCAGCAGCTTTGACCGGGGGCTCAGCTGTACCATGGAGGAGCCTGTGGGCACCCAAGAGGTGAGGATGGAAGGGCCACTGGCTGCAGAGGTACATTCTGGAGTGCAGAGGCCAGGGCCTGGGAAGGTGGCGTGAACCCCACAGGGGTGGAGAGGGGCAATACAGGGGCACAGGGGTGGAGAGGTCCAATGCAAGACCTTGTGGGGTCAGTTGTAGGCCCTGAGGTAGGAGTCCCTGGGCAGGGTCACCCCAACACCCGCCTACCCTCTCAGAGACCCAAGGTTCAGGGGTAGGTTCCTCAGAGCTTCTCACACCTTCTCTCTCCCCCCAGATCCTGCTCATCTCCGATTACTTCTATGCCTTCCTGCGGCGGGAGTACTACCTCACACATGGTCTCTACTTGACTGCCAAGGACGGCACGGAGGCCATGCTTGTGCTCAAGTAGGCCTGGCTGGGCACAGGGCTGCATGGACTTCAGGGGGTGGAAGGGCCAGAAGCTGGGCCAAGCCCCCTAGCCAGAGTTGCCAGCAGAGGAGGCCTCCGGCAGATGAGGTTCGAGTCCAGGGTTACAAATCTCTGGCACCAGAGAGGAGCCATGGCTGGCAGCAAGGCCAATGGGGAATAGCCAGGAGCTCCTCCACTTGGACCCCCACTTTGTGGTTCTGCACACCGGGGAGCCCCCTCCGAGGCTCGAAAGGGGAAGAAGCAGGTGAGCAGGGTTTGTTAGGTTGTGACTACTTAATAAATGGTTTTTTGTTACAAAGAAATCGATCCTGGGCCCACACTGCACTCCTGGAAGGGGTGGGCTTGGCCGCTAACACCACCGTGGTATACTACACACTGGTGTGGGTTTCTAGAATGAGCCCCAAGTCCACAACACGCAAGTTTGTGCCCTGGCCAGCTGAGACTGGTGTAGGGCAGCCTACTCCCACCCCACCCCCCAGCAGCTCCCACCCCCCCCCCATTCCCCAAGCAGCTGGAGGCAAAGGGCCAGGCGGGCCTGAGCAATCTTTATTCTGCAGAGGGACAATGACCACAGATCCGTACACCTTGTCAAGACCAGGTGAGCCAGGGGCCAGGGTGGGGCAGGTCATGGCAGGGGGCAGCCAGGTGAGGGAGGAGGATGATGGGCAGGGCGCTACAAAAAAGCAAAAACAATCACACGGAGCAGGGTGCTTGGTTTTTCCTGTCCCTCCCCAGATCCCAGCCAGCACCCAGAGGGGTAACTCCCAAATGGACTGGCCCAGGATCACTAGGGCAGGTAGGTGTGGTGCGAGTTTGGAGGCGTATATCCCTGCCCAGCCCACCCAGGGCAGAGACCGTTAAGTTCAGGAGCCAGGAGCTCCCTGGGTAGAGCCTGACAGGGCACTCCCATTATCTCCCTAGGCCAATCCTCCCCTACTGTTGCTTCAGAAGCCGAAGGTTTCCTGGGAGGCGTAGACCATGTAGAGGAAGCCATCGTCATCCTTCTCCTGCTCGTAGATGTCGGCGATGGGCGTAGACACGCTCACCATGCTGTGCTGGTTCACCAGCAGGAAGAAGGCCTGCGTGGGGTTCAGCTGCAGGCGGCGCCTGGGGTGGCAGAAGGGCAGGGGCCTTCTGTGAGGGGCCAGGCTCCTGGGTGGGTGGTGCCCTGACCACACCCCCCGCCCCATCCCCAATGATTCTGAGACCACCCCCATCCCAGCCCTTTCTGGAGGCACTCACCTCTGACCTGACACAGACCCCAGCCCTGACCTTTCCCAACCTACCTAGGACTGGGATCCAAAGCCCGGGCCCAAGTCCCACCCTCCCCCAGAAGGCCCCAAGCCCCTTCTGACTGCTGCTGCCCACGCACCGGATGATCTTGACCAACTCGCTCATGTTGACATGGTCTGGCACCAGGAACTTGGTCTTGTCCAGGACTGGCAGCTGCTTCTCACCCTTGTAGCGCTCGATGATCACCTAGGGGTGGGGCAGGGGATGCGTGAGATGGGCAGGGCCTGGAGCCACAGGGATAGGAGGGGGCGGTGAGACTCACCGGGATCTTGCTGGGGTGCTGGTCGCGGATCTGCTGCACCTCCTTACAGCGGTCGGCTGCGGACAGGAGACAGGCAGTAAGGCCAAGAGGTCCCGCTTGCCCCGCCCGTCGCCGGCCCCGCCCCCCGGGCTCCCGCCCCCGGGGCTTCAGGCCCCAGGGCCTGGCACCGGCTGGACTGGGAGGCGAAGCCCCGGCCCAGGCCAGAACCTGCCTCCCGGCCCCGGGGGGTCCAGCCTGAGTCTGACGTCACGGGGCTGACGTCGCCTGCGGCAGTCAGGGTCAGTCGTGGTTCCCACCTCCCCCCCCACCCCGTGTCCCCGCTCCGCACCCGCAGACTGCCCGCCGGGCCTCACCGAAGGTCCGCCGCTGCTTGAAAGGCCGGTCTGAGGGCATCGCGCGGGCCCGGCAGGGCGCGCAGGCCGGGGCTCCGGGACGCGTGGCTTGGGGGCTCTGGCTGAGATTCGGGGGCTCCGTGCCTCGCGCTCAAGGGCTCCGGTTCTCGAGCTGAGCCTGGCGGCGGTGGCTCGGGGAGGTAACTCGCCCGGGTGACGTCAGGTCACAACATTCCTTAAAGGGGAGGCCGGCGCACTGCTCCCATTGGGCCGACGCAAAACCCGCCCGCCTGGGCCTGTGACGTCATGGCGCAGAGAGCTGGACTCCAAGCCAGCACCGCGGAGGGGTGGGGCGGGGCTCCCAGGTCGCGTCACAGTCCTGTGACGTCATGAGCTGCCGGCCCATCTCCCCGAGGCCGGGGCTGAGAGACTGGCAAGCCTGCCAGGAGTTGAGAGAGCTGACTTGCAGCTCTGACAGCGGGAAAGCGCGCGGGCCAGTCCGGGGCTCAGCATTTTCCGTTCCCCCTGGGGCTAAGTCATCCCACAGCACACTGGGAGGCCGTTCCCTTCAAGCGATGGTGTGAGGCGCTGGAGGTGACGATGGCAGTAAACCCAAAAACCTCGCCTCCATGGAGCTCATGGTTAGAGAAAGAAAGCTAGGGGCGGGGGGATTACAACTTCAAAACAAGATGCTAAAAAGGAACACACAGGTTTTCAAAGGAATTTCTAGAATTGAAAAAGCTATTTGAAATTCAAGTCTGAAAGGATCAGGCAAGAAAGTAGATGGGACACAGCAGAAGATAAGTCACGCAACTGGAGGATTGAAAGGAAGCAACCAGAGAAACAAGGTGATAGACCTTCTAAAAGGATAAGTGATAGGAATAGGGAAGTGAGAAGACCCGCAGGTCCAATCAGAATTCCAAAAGGAGAGAAAAGAAGTGGGAGAGGCAGTTCTTGAAGAGCTTCCAGACTTGATTAAAGACCAGGATCCTTACATAAAATCCAGAGCAGGATAAATAAAAGTAGCATCGTGGCACTTTGTAATGAGTTTGCAGAACTCAGAAGAAGAAAAATGGTGAGCAACTAAGCTGGTAAACATGTAGGTAAATAAACAGTGGAACATGAACAGTGATGATTAATCTGGGGAGTTACAAAAGCAGAGGACACAACCGGAAGACTGGAGAGAGTAATCAGTTCAAGTGTTCTAAGAGGCTTGATATATTTGAGGGGGGCAGGATAAAGATACTGATAATTTACAAAGCTTTGTGAATTCAGGAAGTGTGTATTTCAGACACTTACAAGGGAATCACTAAAAGAATAGCAAGTGTAACTGCCAATAGAGAAAAGGAGAAAAAAAAGTAAAAAGAATGGTATATAAATGATGCAAAACCAGAGTAAATGTAAAACATGAGTAAATGTTTTACATTCACTTATTAAAAACATGATCAGGGGCGCCTGGGTGGCTCAGTCGGTTGAGCGTCTGACTTCAGCTCAGGTCATGATCTCACGGTTCGTGGGTTCGAGCCCCACGTGGGGCTCTGTGCTGACAGCTCAGAGCCTGGAGCCCGCTTCAGATTCTGTGTCTTCCCCTCTCTCTGCCTGTCTCCTGGCTCATGCTCTGTCTCTGTCTCAAAAATAAATAACATTGGGGCGCCTGGGTGGCAGGCTCAGTTGGTTAAGTGTCCAGCTTCAGCTCAGGTCATGATCTCAGTCCGTGAGTTTGAGCCCTGCGTCAGGCTCTGTGCTGACAGCTCAGAACCTGGAGACTGCTTTGGATTCTGTGTCTCCCTCTCTCTCTGCCGCTCCCCTGCTCATGCTCTGTCTCTGTCTCAAAAATAAATAAAAACATTTAAAAAATAACATTAAAAAAATTAAAAATAAATAAATAAAACATGATCAGACTGGCCAAGAAAAATAAATGCAGCTCTATATGCTGTTTACAAGAGGACATTTAAAACTTAAGGGCACCAAAAGTAAAATGATGGGAAAAGGTATACTAGAGAAAAGCTAACCAGAAGGTATAGCTATAGCAAAATCAGACAGAAAAGTCCTTAAGGTAAAAAACATTATTAGAGATCCAGAGGATGACCAATAAATGATGAAAAGTACAACTTGTAGGAAGACAACAATTCTTATAAAGCATACAAGTTAGAGATCTAAAAGGCTGAATGTATAAAAGTGATAGGATACAAGGAGAAATTGCCAGATCTTCCATCATAGTGAGAGATTTAAGACTTCTTTCAGTAACTGATAGACCCAACAGCCAAAAAAAGATACAGAAAGATATTAATAATAATCCTGATCAATGAACCCTAATGGAACCCTGAACCCAGTATTGCTACTTTCAAGCACACAAGAAACATTTACCAAAAAATGACATAAAAAATGGCCCCAACTTGAATCTCAACAGGTATCGAACAGTTTCTTTTTTTTTTTTTTTTTTTTTTTTTTTTTTTTTTTTTTTTTTTTTTTTTTTTTTTTCAACGTTTATTTATATTTTTGGGACAGAGAGAGACAGAGCATGAACGGGGGAGGGGCAGAGAGAGAGGGAGACACAGAATCGGAAACAGGCTCCAGGCTCCGAGCCATCAGCCCAGAGCCCGACGCGGGGCTCGAACTCACGGACTGCGAGATCGTGACCTGGCTGAAGTCGGACGCTTAACCGACTGCGCCACCCAGGCGCCCCTCGAACAGTTTCATAAAGACCATATTCTGTGACCACAGACCAGACCCAAATGAATTCTAAATGTTTGGACACATAAACATCTAAAAAACATTTTACTCAAAGATGAAATCCTATTGAAATGAAAACTATTTAGATCAAAAAAATGAGAATACACTTAAAAACTCAGGGTTGGGGGAATACAACTAAAGCAGCCTGTAGAAGATTTATAGCCTTATTAATTATAGTAGGTAAGAAGTACAGAAAATCTACAAGCAGAGTATTAAAGAATTATAAAAAAGTAACAGTGTCAACCCAAAGAAAGTGGAAAGAAGAGCAGAAATTGATGAAATAGAAAACAAAAATACTAAGACCACAAAGCAAAGCTGGAGCTTTGAAAAGACACACAGAATAAACATTAATGTGCCAAATAGAACTGCTATCATTTCTAGCAGAAATGATAAAAATAAGAATGTTATAAACTTTATGCCAGTAAATTTAAAACTTAGATAAGATGGACAATTTTCTAGAAAAAGAAATTTGCCAAAACTATTTCAAAAAGAAATAGACAAAGTGAGTAGCAATATACCTCAAAAAATTGATCCAGATGGTTTTTGAGGGGAGTTCTCCCTGCCACCCCAAGACCAACCAAACAAATGAAAACAAACCTGCGACAAACATCGTACTTAATGGTAAAACACCATACTCTATGGTATGGTGAATTCTATGGTATATTCATTTCAGTGAAATGAATTCACTGAATATAATGCAACATTGTATTGAGGTCCCAGCCAGAACACCAGGCCAAGAAGCAGCAGGAGCATAACTACCACTCACAGCAAGAAGATGCAGAGGAATCCACAAACAATAGAAGACTGCTAACTAACATGAAGTCTGACAACACAGCATACCATGTTTTAGAGGAAGATGGGAAATGGGAAATGGGAACTCTCTACACTGCTGAAGGGAGTGTAAAGCCTTTCAGCCATACTGAAGAGTGATTTGGCAGAATCTACCCAAACTGAAGATGCCCATATCCTACAAACCAGGAATCCCACTTGCTGTGTCCCATGTGAGCTCAAGGGAACACAGTTAAGTATGTTCATTGGAGCATTTTCCTAACAGCAAAAAATTGGGACCACCTATATGTCCTACTGAAGATGTTGGGTATTCCTATAACATAGCAACACATGGTGAGAGAAGGGCTCTCAGCAAACTTTCCCTTTAAAGGGCCAGACAGTAAATAGGTTTGGCTTTCCAGGCCATATGGCCCTCTGCAACTACTCCTTTGTTGCTGTTGGCTTGTGGAAGCAGACTTTACCCCGAAAGGGCATGGTTGTATCCCAAGAAAACTTTATTTGCTAAAACAGATTTGGCCTGAGGCTTTAATTTGCTGACTCTTGATCTAGAGCTGTGTCAAAATGGACAAATCTCACAAACACAAAGTTGCAGCAGAGTATAATCAGAGCCATTAAGTGCAGCTGAAAGAACTAGGTCGGCCAAGGCCTTGGGGGAAGTTGTTACACCTCTCCTTGCTCCACTAAGCCCTAGGCTGAGGCTATGGTGGGGGAGGGCCCATCCCCCAAATCCCAAGGTCTGTGCTCACTCTTGCTCTCACCTGACCAGTCAGCAGGACTGACACTCCACCTCCAGCTCTGGTTTCTCTCCCACTGTTCCTCCTCTCCCTCATCTCCACAGAATCCAAGGCCCGGTCTACTCCGTGTCTCCACTTGAAAGCCTAGCAGACATTTGAAATTTAGCTTCCCCCAAATCAACCCATGCTCTTCCCCTAAAATGTGCACCAGTTGTAATCTCCCCTGTCTCCATCCGTGTCATCTTGGACCCCTTTCTTTCCTTCACCACCCACATATCCAGTCCATGCCCAAATCCTGCTGGTTCACATTTCAAAATATCTCGACAATCTAACCAATTCTTACCACTTCCACCACTGCCCTCGGGCCAGAGCTGCCATCATCTCTTGCCTGACTACTGTCAGCATCTCCCATCTGGTCTCCTCGCTTTGGCTTTGCCCGCCTCATTTGGGTACCACTACGCTGACAGCAGCTTTCCTGTGCACGGAAGTCGGGTCAGCTGATTCTGTACCCCACACGTTTAGAGCAAAAGTCAAAGGCTGAACAGTGGCCCAAGAGGCTTGTGAGATCTTGCCTCTTACTCTCTCCTGGCCTCATCTACTCCTTGCCCCCTAGGCTTCAGCTACACTGATCTTCTCACTCTTCCAGAATCAGACACTCTTGTGCCCCAGGGCCTTTCAGTACTTACTCTTCCCTTTGCCTGGAGCGTTCTTCCTCAAGATCTCTGTGTGGCTCTCAGGTCTCCTCAGGGAGGCTTTCCTGAATGATCTTATTTAATGTTGCAGTCCCCACCCCGGTTACTCCCTATCCTCCCTCCAATGCCTTATTTTTTTGACAGAATAGTTAGCAACTTCTAATATACTATATAATTTTTCTAAGCATTACAAAAATCTTCAGGCATACAGAACACTTGAAATGATTGTTCAGCAATCGCCAATATACACACCAGTTACATTCT